ATTGTATATTTTTTGCTTTATAGTTTTCAAGACAGCAGTAAGAAGTTCCACAGAAGGAAGACATCATACCTGTCTGTCAGTGTTACTGTCTGGCCTTTAATCATTCCCAAGCAAACTTAGCCTTAGCAAGCTCTCAAAGTGCAAGTCCCAAAAGAAAAACCCAGACCTTCCTAACTTAAACTAACTTCTGTCATTTCAAAGATACTGGGTTTATTAGAATGCAGAACACTATCCATTTGAAAACTGGAGAAAAATACCAGCACATTAGAATTGGCTTTTAACAGTATGAAGCTTACTTCCAAACTGACCTTCTAGCTGAAGTGCTGAACCTCATTCTTTTATCTATGTGATCACAATCTATCTATGTGATTAGATAAAGGACATCAGCTTTGACAAAATGGTCTATCACAGCAGAGTTCCCACCTGGCAGCGTACTCCAGGGAAGTTCTAGCTTCAGAGGTCTAAAATTCCCACCTGTAAACTGAAGCCTTTGCATAAACTTATTTTTAAACAAGCTCAATTCCCCCCAAGTTTACTTTTTTTTTTAAATCACAGCTAAAAATACCTTAGAAGAATACATTATATTCCTAGGATCTTTATGAAAAGACAAACTGTTTACATCTTTCAGCTTCACTTCGAAGCATACCATACACAAAGCAGAGACCTTAGAATACCTGTTCGCAATTAAATAAGGCCTAACATCTCAAATGTCTGTCAGGAAAGTCTAGTGCTCAGCCTGCAAAGATTTTAAGGCTAAAGAAGGCACACAGATGGGTAGTTATGTGTGGTTTAATCACTTTCTTCCTTTACCAAATACAGTACCTTGGAAAAGTGTATTTTCTCCTCAGTTTCACTTAAGACACTCTTGAAAGACTAACCACTATCACTGCTGGAGAAACAAGGTTAAATTCCCAGCTGCCACTGGGTTCCCAAACTATTTATTTTTAGGAGCTGTACTTCATTAAAGATACCCCAGGTTTTGAACTGATAACATCTCACTCATTTTTAATAACATGCAACCTACCTGTAAAATCTTCTGCAGTACTGCAATATTCTTACCTCAAGATTTCATACTGCACACTGGATCTTTATGCACAGTGGGGAACATCAGAAGGGAGACTCTGCTAACTGTGGCCCCACTGCCTGAAGACTTGTTTGAACCAACTATTTTTGAGACCTGAACTTCTCTGGCCAGCTCATTAAGTTAAGAGAAAGGCACTAGGGTAAACACTACTACCATGACTTTAGATTACACCAATATTGCCATCAGAAAATACAAAGAACAAGCAAAATCCCTTCCAAGATTCATTGAGCCATCTGCTTCTTAAAATCCTCAGACTCATTAGAATAAAAATATTATCCAGATACAGTCAACATTTGGACTGTGCATGCACATTCTCCTAACAGGTGTTTTTGCGTTTTTTTTTTTTAATCAAGCATTTGTTAATTATGTTAGTCCAGGTCTAAGCAAGTCTATTAATTGCAATGATTTATAGAAGATAAACGTCTGTCAGTCCACTCTTCTAAACCGTATCTGGAATCTGAAGACTGCTTACAGAATGAAGCTCAACACTTCACTGTCTACAGTTGTCTTTTCCGACAATTTTGTTCCTCCTTTCTCCACCAGAAGGATTTAATGAACAAACCCATAGTAGGACAGCTGTTGGTTGCAATCAGTATCTATCCCAGTCTGGGGGGCCTATACAAAAATCTCCCCCCAAAAAAACTTGCAGCAAATCTTTCGTCAGACAGGGACATGACTGATAGTGCAGATTTGACGATCGAGCAATCCCACTATGTGTTTAAATACATTACAGGGGCTACTTGAATGTACTGATGCCTTCCGCACTGAATAACAGTCCTTCCTCATTCTTTGCTCTCATTCCAACTCATTCAAGTTTTTGCAATGAAAGCAAGTCCTGCTGTATGTGAGAAAACATACTAGGATTTGATACTGCCTGCATTATTACTGTATAGCACATATGAATTACTATCCCTTAAAAATGATTAAACATTCAAATTTTCAGTCTGCTTTAGCTTTTGAAACATGAATGGGAACAATGCGTTTATCAGAAAGGCTTTTCTTAAATACTGTGTGAGCATATTCACTCATCTGTTTCAGAAAAGATTTCAAATTTTAGACTTCTGGAATATGGATATTTAATTGCATATTCCAACTTTTTCACAACAGATGCTTAATATTAAAATACAAGTTCATCAAACTTCCATTTCGTTGCAACACTTTTTAGTTCTTCAGACTTAGCAATAAATATGTTCATTTAACTTAAAAACATAAATGGCACTAAATTTCTCTAGATCTGTAAGTAATCCATATTTTTGGAACAGCTGAGTTTCACGCGGATATGAGTCACTATATTTTGAAATACAGAATTCACATAACAAACTTCAAACATTCTGATCTTGAGATATAAACAAGCTCATGAGTTTGTAACACCATAGCATGCAATGAAAAACTAAGCTTGTGGTTTGTAAGGTCAAACAACTAAACTTCACATAAGCTAATTGTTGAGAGAATTAAGTCAGCCTTTTCTTCCATATCTGCATCCTATAGAGAGGAGAGATGGATTTGAGTTATGGCATGTAAGGAACACAAGCTTCCCAAATATGAAGACAACATTTCGTGAGAACCCTAGAACAGCAGTTATTTTACTATTAATTCTCAGTGGCTAAAAAAACCCTTTCACTACGCAGCTGATGTACAGTGATTTTGTATAAGCTAGCTTAGCTGCACAGGTATCACCCATATTAAGTGTTTGAGATCTTTCATGTAACCGCTGTAACATGACATTTCCCTGCTCTCTACAAGTAAAAGCAAAAATTCATCACAAGGGGCAAAGGCTACAATGCTTAGATTTGGGCAGCTTTCACAAGTTAATGCATGCTGTACAGCTTGGAAAGCTAATGCAATTGCTCAGTAAGACATGACATGCTGAGATGACATCACACCTAGCATGTACGGAGGCCTGAGGACAAAGGCTGAATGTTTACAGCCAACCCAGACACAATTACAATTCATGGGATCATCGCTTCTAGAGAGTCTTTGTATTAACACCAGGACAGATTGGGAGCTTTGTCAACACAAATGCTTCTGTAGCTTCTGTAACAGAATGCAGCAAAAGACTTTAGCCTACTAATAAACATACAAAATACAAAGAGAATAAAGCCCCGCAACTCCTGCCACTGGAAAAATTTCAAAACCTATCAAATCATTTAGGAAAACCACAGCATATTAGAACACCACACGCAGGATCCCACTGTTCAGACATTCCGTTGCATCCTTTGTTAAGACGGTCTACTTATATTTCACTACCAATTTTGCTTACCAAAAAAAAAAAAAAAGGCAAAAAGTGACAGAAGATACCAGGAACACAAACATTAAGACAGCTTTTCCTGGGTAGAGATCTGTCACCTAAGTATATCCTATCTAAGCTTTCTCATCCTTAACAATAAGGCTGTTTTACTTGCAATGTTATATAATCTGTTCTATAAAGCTACAGCGACACAATTTTTATGTTAGCAAGAGACTTTTGAACGAGCCATTTCTAAATTACAATACTGT